ATATATATTCGAGCTTTCGAAGATAATGATCGATTTATTAGCGTAGCCTTCATCGACATCGCCAACTGTGTCAATATTCTTTTAGGTGACGTTTATAAAGTGTGTGGTTCCCCGGTTTTCAGGTGAGTGACTGACTTTCAAGTGTAAAATTGGGAGCCCATTGAGACGATGAAAGTAATGCGTACACCTGCATAAAAAAAGACTATGGATGATAATGGTGTGATGAAGAATTTAGATATAAAAAAAACTTGTACTGTACCGTACCTACAGGGGGGTGACAGAATATTAGGAAATTTTACTTTATATAACAAATAAACTGATAAAACTTTATTTTTTAATATCTAGATTATAAATATACATGCTAATATTTTGTATGACCTCCGTCAGCATTAATAACAGCTTGAATCCGCCGGGGCATTGATTTTATTAGATTATGATAATATAAACGATCTACCGCATTCCATTCCTCTTTAACCATTTGCTCTAACTCCCAAATATTAGATGGTTGAGAGTGACGTTTACGAAGTTTTGATTCAATTATGGACCAGTTATTCTCAATTGGATTGAAATCTGGACTTTGAGGAGGCCAGGGAAGTAATTCTACATGCTGATAAGTAAGAAACCCACAGGCAACTTTAGCAGTATGAACAGATGCATTGTCTTCCTGAAAGAGAATTTTTTTTTACATTGCCGAGCATGTGCTTTAAGTGTAGGAATAGCCTAATATTCTAATGTATGTTTATGTACTGTTGCATTAACGGAACTAACTAATGAAACAATAGGACCTAAACCTTGCCATGAAAAACATGCCCAAAACATGCGAGAATCACTATGCTTTATTGTTGAAGCAATGCAATCTTCATTGAGTTCTTCACCTGGTTTCCTCCAAATTCAACCCCATCCAGACTTTTGAAATTGAAAAAAAGTAGATTCATCAGTCCATAATACTTTTTTCCAATCTTCTGCTGTCCAATTATTTTGTTCTAAAGCTCAATTTAAATGTTTAATTTTGTTTGCTATTGAAATAAGTGGTTTTTCTTATGAATGACAGGAATGAATATTTTCTTTATGAAGAGCTTGTTGAATAGTACGTTCTGAAACTTTTTGTCCATTATTAAGTGTAGTAAACATTTTAGTTACTTCACTAAGATTTTGACGTCGAGAGTCTCCATTTTCAAATAATTTATTCTTAAGTAATTGTCTTTTTATTGCATCAATAATGCATTAGCGACCAGTTCTTTTTGAAAGAAGTTGATTTAATTTATAGGCCATAAGAACACGTGTTACAGTTGAATTAGAATGACCAATAATTTTAGCAATCTCTGTGTTTTTATGCCCAAACATTTTAGCAGTTATAATTTCTTCTTTTTCTGCTTGAGTAAGATCTTTTGCATGACCCATAATTGCAGCAAATCAGAAAATCGCGTTTTTTAAAAATTATTTTTTAAAATGGTGTTATTGCTTAAAAAATGTAAACAGACTATTATATATTAAGAAATTAATGTAACATTATATATATATATTTATTAGTTGATTTTTTTAAGTTTACATGGGTTTACTCAAAATATAATTTTAAAAATTTCCTAATATTCTGTCACCCCCCTGTATGTTAGAAATACTATTAATTTATATAACTTGAATATTCTCTTTCAATTCCGATTTAAATAGAAAAATTTGAATTTTGATACCTTTATCAAAAAAGAATAAGTTGTTCTTTTAATATTTGAGTATATTCAAATTTTATAAATCGGATCCAAGCCCTAGTATTATTATCATCAGTGCCTCGGACTATAAAAAACATAGTCAAAAGTCCAAAAATGGATATTTATTTCTGGATCCTAAAGATATCAGCCTACAAAAAAATAATTACGCGTATAATATAAAAAAATAGAATATTTTTATATTTTAAATTATATTATATCTAGTATTATATGTATTTTGCTGTTTATTCATAGGTTCGCATCTAGAATTTAAAAAAAAATTCATAAAACTATAAATTTTGTAAAAAATCTCAATTAATATTATTTAATTAAATGAGTAGTATATTTTTTTAAATCTCAATTAATAATGAACTTTATATAATAAATAAAATTTTAATTAATTAAAATAATGATTAACCAGTTAACCATTTAAACCACTTATTTAGACAATTAATTAACTGGTTAATGATTTTTTAGTCGGTTTCAAACACTACAAATCATATACAAGATGAGATAAAAAATATTTATTATAATCTTTAGATGATCAAGTTGATCCATTACTTTGGTAATAAGTACAATGCTATGAATATCCAACTTTAAGTTTAATTGCTTGAAATTATTTATCTATTCAAGCAATCAGTGTTACTTCTGAGAAAGCTTTTTCAATAGCAGAACAAACAATTTTATCATTAAGAAATAGGTTAGATGAAGAATTAGCAAGAGTGATTTTGATAAAATAAATTCTGTATATAGCATTTTTTTTGAAAATTTTTATTTTTTAAATTCTGTTATTTTTTATTGATAAAATAAACAAATAAATAACAATTTTAAACTTTGTGTGCTAAGGGTTATTTTGAACTGAAGACCAATCTATTGAATTGATAAATAGCATAAGACCTAAATTTGTTTCTAATGCTAATAAAACGGCCAGGTTACAGTGATATTGTAACAAGTGATGTACATTTGATAATGGTATAATGACAGGTTTATATTTGAAGTTTATTTAAATATGCTTCAATCTAATATCAAAAGTTACATTATATGTAGTTAGAAACTAAATTACAATAAAAAAATTGTACAGTAATTTGAAAGAATCTTACAAAGTTTTCGAGAATTTCATCCTTGGATAAGCGGTAATTGTAATAACAAAAATTGCTATAATAAATGTAATAATTTATAACTAGTATATTATTTCAAAACATAATTGAAAAATATATACCTCATTTTTCCTGTAAAACCTACATTATTTAGATCATATCCAATATGCAATGGGTCTTTATTAAATTTAATGCATTGCGTCTGAACCTGTTCGATGCTCTTAAATCCAACCCATTTTCTATTTAAATAGATGTCCATTCGTTTAAGAGGTTCTGAAAGTGTATAACCTATATAATACCATTTATTTAATTCAAGCCCAACGGAGATTTCGTGAATTCCAAAATTCGATTCGGTATTTGTCGAGAATCTAGCGTGAAGATTTGTGGAGTTTGGATTTATCCAAAGGCCGGGAGTCAGAGTATTATTTACTCCTGTATTTTATTTTCGAGCATAAAAAGACTTCAAATTATATAATATTTAACCACGGTTTTAAAAAAGACTTTATGATATACAGTATACCTTTTTGAAAGATACTCTGCCAACCTTCATTACAACTCTGAACGTTTACTAGCAGAGTCACTGATAGTTCATTAATCACGGAGGGTAATTCTCCATCTTGAATATGCATTTTATTAGCAGGGAAATCTAAAGGACTTGAAAATATCTCCTTATATTTCATCTTTGGAATTTCTTCTCCGATAATTATAATTCCAACTTTCTAATGAAGGCAGAACCAGATTCTAAGGAAAAAAATCAAAGTATTCCGTTTTTTTTTAATATACTGTACAGTGCAGAATATACAGTATATTTAGACAAATATAGCAATATGTACTACTAGAGATGGGCATTATGCGCACTATACAATATAATAATAATACAGTATTATACTGTACTATACTATTATATCATATAATAATATAACACATGATCAAATTTTATTTATTAAATATCACTATTAGTAATATATAGTATATAACTAATACTTTATATAAAATTTGCTTTCGAATAATTTAAGTTTTGTTTAACTAGCTTGAATTTGTTTTAGAATTTATTTTACTTGATCTACGGTATAAATTTTATATAATTTAAAAATAAAAATTTATTTAATTCAAAGTTTTATTTAACTTAATTTTTAATATAAAATATTATATATGTAGTTCAACTTTTATTTAATTATAATTAATGTTTTAATAAATTTTTGCATAATTCAAGTATTTTTAAAATTTTGTATAACTAAAATTTTATTTAATCAAAATTTCGTAAAAGTTTAATTAAAGTTTTTATACAAATTAAAGTTTTTTAATCAAAATTTATAGCTTAAATAAATAAATATAATTTAAACTTATTTGTATATTCATTGTAATTGATTATTTTTAATAATTTATCAGAATAAAATAATTCAAATTGTAATTAATTACTGGTATTTTTTTAAACTATATATCTTTTGATCACTTGTTTTCGACAAAAACAACAGGAAGTCCAGACCCACAAAATATTTAATACTGTAACTGCCTTTATTTGTATTCGACAGTTACACTCCAGCACTTGAATTTCCTGCTGTTACCAGTACTTTATTATAGTAAGTAATAATTATATAATGATTTAAGAAAAATTGATCATGTTATTACTTGAGCATTAGTATTAATAATTAATTATATACTTGCATTGATTACAGAAATAAGCTCTTCTAGCAAAGCATTCAAAAAAACTATTCACGCTAAACTTACCTGTAAGCTACCATATTTATCAGGCAAAAATAAATCTATTGATCGATTGTACAAACAAGTAATTGGAATGTTTTTCAATGATCGTTTCTCACGATGTGTTCTCTTGTTGACACATGCTACAATAAAAAGACTATATACTAGCAAGCCATCGATACTTGTCAAGACTGCAACCAGTAGGCAATTCTGGTTTGATGTAAGGTAGCAGATGGGTAAAGCAACAATACCTTGGCATGGATCAAATGTATCTACCAAGACTGCGACCAGTGGGAAACCCTGGTTTGATGTAAGGTGATGCACTGTTATGCCTATTTTGCTTCTATGCTTGTTATCGACTATTAAATGGATTGAGACTATAACCAGTGGGCAATCCTGATTTGATATAGAACTTGTCAAGTCAATACACATAGAAATAGCTATTGTCACGTGCTTGGCTGAGATTGTGATTAGTGAGCAACCCTGGTTCAATATAGAACCAAGTTTTCAATATATATCAGTTTTGCAGCAGTATAAAGTTAAATACCAAGGCTGCAACTAGTGAACAACCCTGGTTCGATGCAAGGCAAGCAAATACTGGCTATAGCTGTTCGATACAAGTTAGCATGCTTGAATTAATTGG